AATCTTGTTTGCCTCACAGATTAAGCATCATCAATTCCAGAGGTGAGCTGTGGAATCCAGGACATATAGATTTCTCAACAGACACCTCTATGCCTGAAAATTCTCCCAACATTTGACTATAGTGCAAATCAATTAAGCAGCAATTGGAACAATTGTTAAAGGACAACAATTAAGAGAAATGAGGTCATGATGCCACAGGCAAAACTGATCGCTGGATACAGAACCATCATACTGTAGCTTAACATCTAGCTCAGAGACATTGCTCTTTGCAACATCTAAGAAATTCTTAGAACAAAAGAAAAAAGTTGGGAAGTTTTTAATTGGAATTTTATGCATTTCATTTTTATTTTTGACATTTTTTGAGTGTTTTAAAAATAGGTAAATTGATGTCTGGACTAGAAATAATAGTAAAATGGTATCAACAGTTTTTCTACTTATGAGTGGAACTTCAAAACTCAACTACTACTAAACTGAAAATTAAAAGAAAAAATGGTATAAATGACTGGTCCTTGAAATAAACCATCACACTTATGAAAAATTTTTAATGAACAACACTACTACCATGTGGCTAGTTATTCATTTTCTCCTCAACTAATAAACTAAGAATCACACACAAAGAAGGCAGAATATATGTGTGTGTACATAATGCTATTGGGCAGATTTTACAAATAAAAGAGAGAAAATGCAGACATTCCCTCATAACTGTTATGTCTCGAGTAACTGAAAATTCTGCCAACATTTATGTAATTTTTCAAAGTGAACTCAACTTTTCGGATAAAGTAATGAACTGGAGCTAATATTCAGAATACGAAAGTTCTTTTAATATTTTTTCAAAGACATTTATTTCTTCATACTGAGTATTGTAAGGAGCTATGTGAAGAGTACTTAACTCAAGTCATTCAAGGGCTGTGAGTTCAAAGGTACTCATGTGTGACTTCCCAATTGGTATTATATTTTATGTGACAAAGTGTAGCTTGCCAGCATGATACCTGATCTATTCATTGTGTTAATAAGTATTCAAATCCTCTGATTCTGACTTGGTTTTCAATGAAATGGTAAGTTTAAATCAGCCTCCTGTACTCATTGCTGCTATAACACAATTGCTTTCTTAGTCAGAGCTTTCTCAGTTCTTCGCCTTTATATCCATTGCCTCCAACCCACACTACATCTTTTCCATCTTCACATTCATTCATGGAATAATCCAGACATATTCTACAGCCTAAATACACTTAAAAAACACCTGCCTACAGGTATTATTCACATATTTGTCTCTTCTGTTGCTCACGCAGTCAACTCCTTTACCACTTCCTTCAACTTTCCTACCCTGTGTTTGTACCACCTATTGCTTTTCAATATTTTAACTATGTCTCCTTTGTCCCTTTAGCAACTTGCTTTTCTTTCTCTGTTTTTTTTTTATTCCCTCTTCTTTATCCATGTGCCATACTATTATTTGTCTAAATGTAATCTATCATCAACCATGCCTTCAATAAATAGCTACCAGGTTGTTATTTTGTGCTAGGATACCAGGTACTGGCAATAAGAAAATGAATATTCCCCACTCTTTGCTGTATGTGTCCTCAAGGACCTCACAGTGTCATGAAAAAAATAGAAAAAAAAATGATATGGGTGC